TTAATGCTATCACGTGTCACGTCACGTGATTTTTGCGTGTAATCACGTGGTAGTCTCACGTTTGGAATTAATGTTATCATTAGTGGGTTTTTTTCGTTCTACGCGCAGCGAATACATTTCTTATTTCACGAGGAAGGTTTAAAGCGAAGTATGAACCAAAACCCTAAACATCACTATTGACCGTAAAAGGGTTGTGATTTGGTGTTATCTAGGGAAAAAACCGAAGACTTTTGACTGAAAAGTTGTGGTATGTCCAAAAAGTCACGCACCGCTCATTTTAATAAAAGGTGCGTCATAAAAAAACATAATAATCTGAAGCTGTATTTGAATTCCGTTGCTGCTTAAAAAATGTAATCCGTTCAATATACGCCTACATGATCTCATATCAAATGTTGCTTAATCCTTACAAATATACGCCTACTTGATCCCATTTCATATTGATTACATGAGCGCAAACTCCAACATGTAAAATATTTGTTGTTTGACGTGTTTTATTTCCTCGTTTTATCCCATTTCTATTTCATGCGTATTTAATAAACTTGGGCTTCGCTGAAGTTCGGCATTTGTTTGTTTTTTCGGCGCTTTTTTTTGCAACTTTTACACCCATTTTCATTAACGGCAGCTAAACCTTGTATTTGTCTATTTTAAAGTGCGAATTGTTCTAAGTTTAACGGAAATTGGAGTCGAATCTATTTTGGTCGCCCCCCCCCCTCCTCCAGCCTCAAAACACACCATTAAATCGATAGTCCTGGTTGTATATCCGTATGATCAAATTTTTGACAGCATGGCTTTACCTGTCTCTGTGCAACAATTATCAATTACATTATGTTTACATTGCGGTACACGTCAACGACTGGCTGTGACTTGCTATATTTATCTTTAGACTGTATTGTCTAATTTAGTATCGAACAAGGTAGGCTAAATATATAGATGTATTTCTTGGTGGGTGTTTTAGAGGCGTCGACATAAAATGACGTCACATATCGAAAAAGCGGATGGGGGTAAAAAAGTCTTTATTGTGACTATGCGCTACATGAGACAGGTGGGGAATGTGACGTAGTATACTTCAGAAAGGGCAATTGAAACAAATTCTTATTTTAAAACGTTTTGATTCTGGTTAACTTGATGGTACATGGAGCACTGTGATTTCATTGGGAGTCCTGGGTTTTTGTGATGACGTAATGAAACTTAAATTCGATAAAAACTTCTTAATGTACTTATAGACGCCTACACCCTTTGTGGTGTCAAAAGTTAATTATATTTAATGAGAAGTGAAGTGAGACAACTATAGAGCCAACACGGAATCCCGTTGGTCTTATTTCGTTGTTAAACCCAGTCGTACTGTTTATAAAGTACAACCTTGGTTCACCCCTACATATCACTATCCCTTTAGTTTCATTCCCTTAGCACAAAGGTGTTACTTTTAGCGGGAGAGTTGGTGGGTTGGGGTATTATTTCTTTGTAGTTCGCGTATACATATCAAACGGAAGTGCTCGACTGGAAAATCCAGACAATAGATAAATAATTTCTTTTATGTCTACACAAGCTAACTGTCATGTGTTTTTCGGTGTTGTAATTTTTTCAGGATCTTGTGTTGTTTTTTGTTTAGGGTGGGGTGTGGGGGTCACATTTTTCAGGATCTTGTGTTGTTTTTTGTTTAGGGTGGGGTGTGGGGGTTACATTTTTCAGGATCTTGTGTTGTTTTTTTGTTTAGGGTGGGGTGTGGGGGTCACATTTTTCAGGATCTTGTGTTGTTTTTTTGTTTAGGGTGGGGTGTGGGGGTCACATTTTTCAGGATCTTGTGTTGTTTTTTTGTTTAGGGTGGGGTGTGGGGGTTACATTTTTCAGGATCTTGTGTTGTTTTTTTGTTTAGGGTGGGGTGTGGGGGTCACATTTTTCAGGATCTTGTGTTGTTTTTTTGTTTAGGGTGGGGTGTGGGGGTTACATTTTTCAGGATCTTGTGTTGTTTTTTTGTTTAGGGTGGGGTGTGGGGGTTACATTTTTCAGGATCTTGTGTTGTTTAGGGTGGGGTGTGGGGGTCACATTTTTCAGACCATATCTATTGTTGTTTCTGGGCGTTCTTTTGCTAGCTGAGGGAACAATCCGTCTGGCATGGATTCTGCGTAAGTCACCATTCATGTGCCACCAGTCAGGCGTCAGCAGTCATGTGTCAACAGTCATGTGCCGCCAGTCACGCGTCACCAATCATGTGTCAACAGTCATGTGTCATTGGTCATGTGTCATCAGTCATTTGTCACCAGTCATGTGTCACCAGTCAGGTGTCATCAGTCAGGTGTCATCGGTCATGTATCACCAGTCATGTGTCATCAGTCAAGTATCACCAGTCATGTGTCACCAGTCATGTGTCACCAGTCATATGTCACCAGTCATGTGTCAACAGTCAATTGTCAACAGTCATGTGTTGGCAGTCATGTGTTGACAGTTAGGTGTCACTAGTCAAGTTCCTCTGGTCCCCCAATTCCCAAACTTGAGAGGCCCGTTAAATTATTGTGTCTGTTTTCTCACACTTTTAAACATTTTACATATCTTTTTCTCCTTATTGATATCAAGCTTAGTTATGGGAGTGAAGGAAACATTCTAAACTTCCAATTTTTAGTAGGGCCCATGTTCTTTGTTGGCTCCAGTCTGTTGTCTAGGGTGGCTTAAGTTTGTAGTTTTTATATATACATCTTCTCACAGATATACATAGATATGTATATAGATTGTAGATTTAAATGTAGATATAGAGGTATAGATATATGTATGTGTTTTTTTCCAAAAAAAAATATTTAGGGGCTTAAGTCTCCCCCCCCCCCCAGTACCCCTACATCCGCCTCTGTAAGGATTTTCATTAAGGTCCATGTACATACAAATATGGGTCACGAAGATATCTTCCTCATGACAAGGATATTTGTTCAGTCAATATAACTGTTAGGGTTAAAATTTGGTGGTAAGATAACAATAAATAAAATTTGACATTAGGAATTCAGTATATTCTTTGTATAAAGGTTAAATTATCAAGACATTTAGAAACATTTCTAAATCTGGGAAACTTTTTTTTTTTAGTTGACATATATATTATTAGGTGTTGGTTTGGGTGTCCAGGATGTAGGTCACCTCATTAGAATAATGTGTCCAAAAGGAAGTTCAAAAGATCTCTGGGTTCCTTGTGGAGCTAGGTACAGCTGGAATGTTTTAACCTACATTTTTAAACTTTCCTGCTTGGATTTTTTTATAATGCTGGCGTGGCATATTTTTACCATGATAAGCAAGTCATGGTTAATTCATTGACTTCCTCATCTTTGTATAGGTCCCTGAATGTGTTATGTAATACAGTGGGTTGGGTCGCTTCCTGAATTCCTTCAGTAGAGTTGTCTGAGCTAAAGGGTGGTGTAGACTAGACCAATGCCATGTCTGACTGAGCTAAAGGGTGGTGTAGACTAGACCAATGCCATGTCTGACTGAGCTAAAGGGTGGTGTAGACTAGACCAATGCCATGTCTGACTGAGCTAAAGGGTGGTGTAGACTAGACCAATGCCATGTCTCACTGAGCTAAAGGGTGGTGTAGACTAGACCAATGCCATGTCTCACTGAGCTAAAGGGTGGTGTAGACTAGAGCAATGCCATGTCTCACTGAGCTAAAGGGTGGTGTAGACTAGACCAATGCCATGTCTCACTGAGCTAAAGGGTGGTGTAGACTAGACCAATGCCATGTCTCACTGAGCTAAAGGGTGGTGTAGACTAGACCAATGCCATGTCTGACTGAGCTAAAGGGTGGTGTAGACTAGAGCAATGCCATGTCTCACTGAGCTAAAGGGTGGTGTAGACTAGAGCAGTGCCATGTCTCACTGAGCTAAAGGGTGGTGTAGACTAGACCAATGCCATGTCTCACTGAGCTAAAGGGTGGTGTAGACTAGACCAATGCCATGTCTGACTGAGCTAAAGGGTGGTGTAGACTAGACCAATGCCATGTCTGACTGAGCTAAAGGGTGGTGTAGACTAGACCAATGCCATGTCTGACTGAGCTAAAGGGTGGTGTAGACTAGACCAATGCCATGTCTCACTGAGCTAAAGGGTGGTGTAGACTAGAGCAATGCCATGTCTCACTGAGCTAAAGGGTGGTGTAGACTAGAGCAATGCCATGTCTCACTGAGCTAAAGGGTGGTGTAGACTAGAGCAATGCCATGTCTCACTGAGCTAAAGGGTGGTGTAGACTAGACCAATGCCATGTCTCACTGAGCTAAAGGGTGGTGTAGACTAGACCAATGCCATGTCTGACTGAGCTAAAGGGTGGTGTAGACTAGACCAATGCCATGTCTGACTGAGCTAAAGGGTGGTGTAGACTAGACCAATGCCATGTCTGTCTTTGATTTTCTTTATTCTTGTTTTAAAATGTCTTCTATGTAGAATGGTTGGTGAATAAAATGACATTAATGCCATACCACATTGTCTTTTATTACTGTGTTTTTTTTTATCTCTTCTGCACTGAATACTTGGTTAATGTTTCACCCTGTGTCCACTCAGTTTTCATCCTGTTCATTAAATCCATTTTAAACCTGGACAGAAAAAGCGTTATAAAATTTCTTTGTTTAATTTTAATCTTGTCCTTATCTTTCCTACTAGGAAGAGTTGACTTTTTTTTTTAAAACCCTTTATGTATATGAATTTATTTTTCTTAAATATTATATTTTGATCCTTTGTGTGTTTGAATTAAATTTCTGTTTTTTATGCTTTCTACTTTGAATGACTTGTTATTTTTTTCATGCTTTTTAAAAAAAAATTGATTTCTGTCTTTAATGTCTTCTACTTGGAATCATGAAATATATTTTAACCATTCATGTCATTTTATATCTGTCTTTGTGTTGATGTCTTCTCCTTTGAATCATTAAATTGATTTTAACCCTTTATGTACTTCATTTTATTTCTGTTTTTAATGTCTTCAACTTGGATTCATTGTTTGTTTTGTTTTAACCCTTTGTGTATTTGATTTCCCCCCACAGAAAGATGGTAGAGTAGTTGCCGTGAAAGTTTTCCATGATTATGTCAGCCAAAAGGAGGATGACATCCGTGAGCTGGACCTACTGAGACGCCTGTCACACGACAATATTATCAGATTTATTAGCATAGAGAAAGTGGTGAGTTCATTGCATGGCTCTAGATGCTTATTCAAACATTAGCATAGAGAAAGTGGTGAGTTCATTGCATGACTCTAGATGCTTATTCAAACATTAGCATAGAGAAAGTGGTGAGTTCATTGCATGACTCTAGATGCTTATTCAAACATTAGCATAGAGAAAGTGGTGAGTTCATTGCATGGCTCTAGATGCTTATTCAAACATTAGCATAGAGAAAGTGGTGAGTTCATTGCATGACTCTAGATGCTTATTCAAACATTAGCATAGAGAAAGTGGTGAGTTCATTGCATGGCTCTAGATGCTTATCATAACATTAGCATAGAGAAAGTGGTGAGTTTATTGCTTGGCTCTAGATGACAATATTATCAGATTTATTAGCATAGAGAAAGTGGTGAGTTCATTGCATGGCTCTAGATGCTTATTATAACATTAGCATAGAGAAAGTGGTGATTTCATTGCTTGACTCTAGATGCTTATTATAACATTAGCATAGAGAAAGTGGTGAGTTCATTGCATGGCTCTAGGTGCTTATTCAAACATTAGCATAGAGAAAGTGGTGAGTTCATTGCATGGCTCTAGATGCTTATTCAAACATTAGCATAGAGAAAGTGGTGAGTTCATTGCATGACTCTAGATGCTTATTCAAACATTAGCATAGAGAAAGTGGTGAGTTCATTGCATGACTCTAGATGCTTATTCAAACATTAGCATAGAGAAAGTGGTGAGTTCATTGCATGGCTCTAGATGCTTATTCAAACATTAGCATAGAGAAAGTGGTGAGTTCATTGCATGGCTCTAGATACTTATTCAAACATTAGCATAGAGAAAGTGGTGAGTTCATTGCATGGGTCTAGATGCTTATTCAAACATTAGCATAGAGAAAGTGGTGAGTTCATTGCATGGGTCTAGATGCTTATTCAAACATTAGTAAAGAGAAAGTGGTGAGTTCATTACATGGCTCTAGATGCTTATTCAAACAAACATTTGTACTTTGTCAAGTTGGTTGTAGTTAACTTAGGGGTAACGCCACATGACAATATTATCAGATTTATTAGCATAGAGAAAGTGGTGAGTTCATTGCATGACTCTAAATGATTATTCAAACATTAACATAGAGAAAGTGGTGAGTTCATTGCATGGCTCTAGATGCTTATTATAACAAAAATTGTACTTTGTAATTTGTCATCTTGGTTGTAGTTAACTTAGGGGTAATGCCACCCATCCAATACTAAGTTTTTAAGTGTGGCAATAGACTTTAAAGAGTGGAGAGCTATAAGAGATGCTCTATGTTCCTCAAAAACCAAAAAGGAATAATGATGATGGGTACATATTATTGGATCCACGCAGAGATTACTCTATGTGACACTAGAACGAGTTAATCAAAGTCTGGTAGATTTGTGGTTTTCCCCTGATTTTACACATTGTAGTAAAGTTTTACAATCAGTTACTTCGATAAGGGTTTAGTAATCTGGTGTAACTGTAAAAAACCTGGTGGATCATTACTTTTATATCCTCTTTATATATATATATATATATATTTATACATTAAGCTCACCAGTGTAGAAAAGTATATCTTGATCATGTTTAGTATCACAAATATTATATTGCTTTACTTTAATGTAGAAAATTATGCATTATCTTTTTTGTAGAAAATCATACAATGTTCATCTTTTTTGTAGTGATTTATTATACCTTGTTAATGTTTATGGTAGTAATTTATACCTTGTAATGTATACCTTGTACAGCAAACATCCATGAGGAGTGTACTCATAATGGAGTACTGTGAAGGGGGATCACTCCACCACATGCTAGACCAACCATTGTACTATTACGGGCTGGTAGAAGAGGAATACATCTTAGTGCTGAAGCACGTTGGTAAATAACTTGCATTTTTTATTCAGATATTATTTAAGTTGAGAAACATAAGGCAGTTGATGTTTTATTTAGAAAGATATGCTGCAGCTGATATTTCTTTAACTGATTTACAGCTTACCTTCTTTTTGTGATGTCAAATTCAAATTTGATAGCATTTTAGGAAATCTAGTCTAAATGAATGGGTACTTAATGAATCACTTGGACAACTTGTTTTTGGTCATTCTGCTACTCTTCATCCCTACTTCAGCAAACACTTTGAAATGTGTTATCTCTTGTTTCAACACATCAATATTCTGTTGTTTCTTTACTACACTGTTGTAATGTTGTGTACACTAGTGTTTTGTTATACATCCTAATTAATTTATGTTTGCCTACCTAATCAGCTGAGGGTATCCAGTACCTGAGACAAGAGAATGTGATACACAGGGATATCAAGCCTGGGAACATCATGAGGTCAGAGACTTTTCTTTGCACAAAAAATACCTCCAACCTATAGTAGTTGTGGGGATGCATGGTGGAATGGTAGCGGCTATTGCTGCTAACGCAAAAGTATCGGTTTGAATCCAGGATGTCCCTGAGACTACTCGACTCTGATCGGTACCTGCCTCATGTTATGGAAACAAAGGCGGCTGGGCATAGTGCTGACCATACTATCCCCCTGTATGCCAGGGTTGTTAAAACAGATGAAATCTACTTTATTTGCCCCATGTGTCATGGGGCAAATGGGAAAAGACGATGATGATAATAGTGGTAGTAAGTTTTTCAAGCAAGAAAAATATCTGCAAAAATAAAACAGGACTGGGAAGGTTACACTGCATAAAAAATCTGAACTGTTAGAAGGGGAAAAGCTTCTCCAGTACTATGTTCATGTCAATAGAGGTCTGAAAACCTCTGCAAAATGGTTGCTACCTCTTACAAAAGTGAGAGCCGTTTGCGTCCTTGCCTGCTGAACTTTATACTGTATCTTCTCACATGGTTTTTAATGTTTGACTAAATAAGTTTGACTTGATATTGTAACTCCTCACCTCCCTTTGAAAGATGGACTAACTCTACACCCTGCCATACAAGCCTGAACTTAGATCTTAACACCTCCCATACAAAAGTGAACCTATGTCTTAACCCCTCACTTACTGAACACTGTTATTTGCAGACATATCACCACTGATGGCAACTCTATATACAAACTGACAGACTTTGGTGCTGCTCGTAAACTTGATGACGATGAAAGCTTCCAGTCCCTCTATGGAACTGAGGAGTACTTGGTATGTGCTATACCTAAACATAAATAATCTAAATTTATATACAGTTGACTACTTGTATCCTGCCATCAAATGCTACCCCTTGATCTTTTGAAGTTAAAACCAGTTAACAGTGAATACTATTCAGAATACTAAGTAGTCTGTTAAATTTTTATTTGTTTCAAATGTTTTTTTTATTGCTAAATTTGATCATTACTATCACAGCACCCAGGCATCTATGAGAGAGCGGTTCTCAAACTACCAACAGGGATGACTTTTGACGCTAAAGTTGACCTCTGGTCGCTGGGGGTCACCTTCTACCACACAGCCACTGGTCAGCTGCCCTTCCAGCCTTACGGTGGTCGAGCCAACAAGCAAACTATGTGAGTCTTTGTCTTGTGTGTGTTTAGCACCTGTATATAACCATTAGCTTGGATTAACCCTAGTAGGACAACTTGAAATATCTCCCTGCCCAAATGTGGTAACACCAAGAGGATGAAAGGCAGCTCTTTCAGCTCTTATAGTACTAGCCACAATATTGGCTTGTCAGTTTTCATATCAGCCAATCAGAAAGAAAGTTACAATTTTTAGAAAATCCTGCTGCTCCATTGTTTGACTGCCTCATGTTTTTAATTGTTCTTTTTTTTATTTTTTTTATTGAGGATAAAATTTAAGTGTATTATTATTATTTTCACTTAGTCAGAAAGTAACAGTAAATTAAAATGTCCATTTTTTTTACTGTAAACCCTGATATTTAAATTATTCATTATTGAGTAATAATGAATATTAAAGTTACTTTTTCTTATGTCCTTATGTGTAATAATGAGAATAAAGTGGCTTTTCCTTTAATATTTAATGTTAAATTTATATATAACTCAATAAATTACTTGTGTCTTTGCATGGGGCAGTGGCTGTGCACAAGCAAAAAAATCTGTAATTGTTTCTAATCCTCATTGTATTTCTGTTTATGAATGTATGCAAGACATGTTTAGGCCACCTCTGTGTTTGGCCATCCCTGTGTATGGCCACACAGCCTTAATTAAATCTGGGAAAGAAAAGTCATCAGGGGCATTCCTCTGGTAGAAAAACACATTCATGTGCCTAGTACCAGTGGCGTAGCGAGGTTTGGTGTCACCCGGTGCAGCACTTAATGGTGTCGTGTCACACACACACACCCCATCCCCCTAAAGGCGTAGCAACCCTTTCCGCCACCAAAGTTTTGATTCGCAAACCCCCCCTCAAATTTTTTATTTGCACCCCCCCCCCCCCCCAAACTTTCAATTTGCACCACCCCCACCCCACCCCCCTCAAGTTTTTCTCTATATATTTTGCTATTTTTTGCCTTGGTGTCACCCCCCTAAATGGTGTCACCGGGTGCGATCCGCACCCCCCACCCCCCCCCAGCTACGCCTCTGCCTAGGACATAACACATAACTCTACTTCATCTGAACTGAGAAGATTTTTAAGGGTACATGACATTTCAGTTTAATTTCAAAGTTTTGTTTTCTTAATATGAATTAGCAGTCTTTAAAATAATTAGTTTTTATTCTGTCATATAAAGATACAACATTTTTTTTTTATAAACACTCAAATTGGGTTTGTTGGCATGTGAATTAATGGACTACCACACTAAACATCAGTGTGTACGTCTGTCTTCAAGAGCAATATTTAACTAAAAATATCAGGTGTATGACTGTCTTCAAGAGCTACATTTTACTAAAAATATCATAGTGTATGTCTCTCTTCAAGAGCTACAATTAACTAAAAATATCACAGTGTATGTCTCTCTTCAAGAGCTACAATTAACTAAAAATATCAGGGTGTACGTCTGTCTTCAAGAGCTACAATTAACTAAAAATATCTGGTGTATGTCTGTCTTCAAGAGCTACATTTTACTAAAAATGTCTGGTGTACGCTCTCTTCAAGAGCTACATTTTACTAAAAAATAATAGCTGTATGTCTGTCTTCAAGAGCAACATTTTACTAAAAAATAATAGCTGTATGTCTGTCTTCAAGAGCAACATTTTACTAAAAAATAATAGGTGTATGTCTCTCTTCAAGAGCTACATTTTACTAAAAAATAATAGCTGTATGTCTGTCTTCAAGAGCAACATTTTACTAAAAAATAATAGGTGTATGTCTCTCTTCAAGAGCTACATTTTACTAAAAAATAATAGCTGTATGTCTGTCTTCAAGAGCAACATTTTACTAAAAAATAATAGCTGTATGTCTCTCTTCAAGAGCAACATTTTACTAAAAAATAATAGGTGTATGTCTCTCTTCAAGAGCTACATTTTACTAAAAAATAATAGCTGTATGTCTGTCTTCAAGAGCAACATTTTACTAAAAAATAATAGGTGTATGTCTCTCTTCAAGAGCAACATTTTACTAAAAAATAATAGCTGTATGTCTGTCTTCAAGAGCAACATTTTACTAAAAATATCTGGTGTATGTTTGTCTTCAAGAGCTACTTTTTACTAAAAATGTCACGGTGCATGTCTCTCTACATTTAACTGAAAATATCAGATTGTACGTCTGCCGTCAAGAGCTTCATTTAACTAAAAATATCGTAGCGCAAATCTGCCGTCAAGAGCTTCATTTAACTAAAAATATCGTAGCGCAAATCTGCCGTCAAGAGCTCGGTTTCTCAGTGTTGTTGACCTCCCTTGTTTAATAGGTTAAGGTGTTTTCCCTCAGAGTTCCCACTCCTGAATCACATCCTCCTTCTGACCCAGCCAGGGATTCCTGTCATTGTAAACAAAGGAATTGTTTTTCTTGGCTTTGTTTTGGTTTTATTTGTTTTGTTTTTTCTGTAATTTAACCACTCTTTGTTCTGTCAAGATTCAGGGTTTTTATCTTAATGCTTCAATGCTTTCTTACAAGATAAATTGGTTAACTGCAATATGATACATTATTGAACATTGCATGAAATAAAATTCATTTAGAAATATATTTAAGTATATGTATGTGTGTGAAATGTATATGTAATTGTGTGTATACACATGTACAAACACATATGTGCATGCACACACATACATATATACAGACATACACATGCACATTAATTTATTTAAGCACTTATTTAACATTAGTAGGATTGGCTTGCTTTTTATATATACAGAGTTGAAGTGATTTCCTGTTTTGGATCAGTCAAGAGATCAATTAGAACTTAATTGGTTTCAATGATAATTAATTAATTATTGTCTGTGCACTTAAGAACATGACATTGCTTTAATGGCTGGGATTTTTGGCTGGGAGATTACTAGTTTTAAGGTTCAGGGACAAATACAGCTATTAATAGAATTTAAATGCTTTGATATGTCTAGGTTATCTTCTCTTTTGTGTTCTAGGTTGTCTTCCCTTGAGCATTCACAGTAATTTTGGTTATATCTATTGTTTTGTTACAAATGTTATGTCTGGCTACAAAAAATTCAGTTTGGATGTCTGAATAAATTAATATAGTTTGGAGCACATTTCCCCCCTTTCTCACGTTGTAAAACAAAGAGAAGAAATTTTAATTTCCAAGTGTCTTTGTTTAAGTGGGATAATCTTGACTTGAACTTACCCCCCCCCCCCCCCCATTAAAATGCATTGGTGTAAGAGGGTCAAGGATAGATTTTTTGTTCACACTTGAAGTTAATGGCAAATGCCAGCCACAACTTTGCTAAAACTTGGGGTCCATTAATTTGATCAGCTTGATTTTTATTTGCTTCAATACTTGTTAATTCATACTTTTTATAACATTTTATATCAAACTAGTTTGTTATTTAATCCTAAAATGGGATAGAGCAAACTAAAATTTATTTTAATTTTTTTTTAAATAAAATAACAGAAAATGAAGATTAATATAAAATTGTATGTGATTTGACCACACATGTCTTAATTTAATTGTGTATTTATAGGTTTAAAATTATAACAGAAAAAGAAAGTGGAGTCATATCTGGGGTTCAAAACTTTGAAAATGCACCAATACAGTGGAGGAGGGACTTACCTGAGACATCCCCTTTATCAAGGTTGGTTAAACACCTTTTAGATATCCATAATAAATAGGTCTAGAGTATTATTTCTTAGAAGATATAGCCCATTCCATATTACTATAATTTGGGAATGTCTTTTCTTCTTGTGTTATTGAAAGATTAGATAACAGCCTTATATGTAATCTTGGATATGGTAAAGTAGTATGAGAGGAATTAACTTCCTTGTTGAAATAACCTTAGATCCATGGGTATATACACATACATACACAGATATATATAGATAGAAATATAGGTATAGGTGTCAAAAACAAGGAAGTTTATTTATTTCATATAGCAATGTTACGGTAACCTGAATACCACATTCACTTCAATAAAGCAATATTAACTTTTTATTGATTGATCACATACAATTTTTTTTTCCAGTTTTAACTTCTGGTAGAGGTTTTTTTTTTTTGTATATTTAAAACATTTAAAATGGCAATGACTGTGCAAGTAAAATAGTGTTACACATTTTAACAATTTCCACTTTTAACTTTGGGTTTTTTCTTCTTCCACAGTGGGTTAAAATCTATTGTGATTCCCATGTTGGCTGGACTAATGGAGCCCAATGCTGCGAGAATGTTGACGTATGAAAGTCTGTTCAGAATTGTGCAGAATATCTCCACTAAGATCAACATTTGCGTCTTTCACTACACCCGCTGTGAGGACCTTAGAATCTATGCTGATGGCAACACAACGTTAGTATATCTGGTGATATTTGGCTGTCTGGGTTCTACAGTGATAGTATTAACTTTAGTTGAGTCTACTGAATCTAGTTGCAGTGAGGATACTGGAATGTATGCCAATAATATTAGTAGAACATTAGTATACATCTGTGCCCAGTTACAAAGATATAAAACCTCATCAAAACAGCTGATATATATTTCCATCTGCGCTCTATACAACAAAAATTATTCAGCCCTTATACTTTTACTTTTTTTTAAGCAGTATGTTTCTTCTCTTCTCTGGCCAATAAGTATTCTAGTTTATAGAATTCACACCAATGCCACAGAAGTAATAGCGTATGTTAATTTTTTTCTATGAGAAAAACATCACAGAAAATGCAGTTCATATAAATCTTCTGAGAAAAGACAAATAATATTTATAAACAATATACAACCTAATCAATGAAAGAAGGTTTTAATCTTATATCATTGTTTGTTTCATTTACTTTTTTTCTGTGAACTCAAAATTGAGTGTGATAAGAAGTAATATATATAGATATAAATATATTTATTTATTTATATATACATATACATATATATATATATATATATATATATATATATATATATATATATATATATATATATATATATATATATATATGTATGTATGTATATATATATATGTATATATATATATATATATATATATATATATTATTGCAGGTAATCAGGCTGGTGTTTAACTTGTATTTTTGCAGATATACTGGCCTGCAAGATTTGGTTGCATCCCTAACGGATATAGTGGCAGCGGATCAAATCCTGCTGGTGGCTGGGAAGTGTCTGGATGAAATTGTGGATCCATCCTTACAACTCAAGGACTATCCGTCACACATCCTGCATGACAGTATCTATCTTTTTCAGAAAGAAAAATCGGAAACAGCAAGGATCAGTAAACCAGAAATTCGTACGTTCACATTTTAAATAGGTGGTGATTTGATTTTAGGGTTTCTCATACATTTTTATTTATATTAATACCTGAAGTTAAATTTTTGCTTAATTTATAAAGAACATTATTTCTTTGAAAAAAAATGTCCTCAGAAAATGTTTGGAATATTTAAATTATTTTAAAAATGTAATTTTATTGGAAATGTAATATTTAAAAAAAAAAAAAAAAAATCCCTGATAACAAATATTTGAAAATCACAGATTTACATTGTTACATTTATTTATATACCTGAAAAGCTTTTGTAATTATAGCCAATTTTCACCTTGTAAAATGTTAAGTATCTTCATTTTAGCTTATATTAGCAGATGTTCAGCTGTGTATGTAGATGATGGCTTTCCTCCATGACAAAATAATTACAGATTTTTCTCCATCTTGTTATCCAGCGTCAATGCCAGACTTTAATCCAACCAGTGATATGGATGGGGATGCCAGGTTGGCACACAATGTCAGTGCTAAAGGGGAGCTGATCAAGAGATACATAGAGAAGGTCTCTAAGCAGCAGGAGAGGATTATTGGTGGTTTATTGTGTCTGAGGTAGGTCATCACAATTTGTGGTTTATTGTGTCTGAGGTAGGTCATCACAATTTGTGGTTTATTGTGTCTGAGGTAGGTCATCACAATTTGTGGTTTATTGTGTCTGAGGTAGGTCATCACAATTTGTGGTTTATTGTGTCTGAGGTAGGTCATCACAATTTGTGGTTTATTGTGTCTGAGGTAGGTCATCACAATTTGTGGTTTATTGTGTCTGAGGTAGGTCATCACAATTTGTGGTTTATTGTGTCTGAGGTAGGTCATCACAATTTGTGGTTTATTGTGTCTGAGGTAGGTCATCACAATTTGTGGTTTATTGTGTCTGAGGTAGGTCATCACAATTTGTGGTCAATTGTGTCTGTGTTAGGTCATCACCTTTTGTGGTCAATTGTGTCTGTGGTAGGTCATCACATTTTGTGGTCAATTGTGTCTGTGGTAGGTCATCACAATTTGTGGTTTATTATGTGTGCAATAGGTCATTACATTTTGTTGTCAGTTGTGTCTGCGGTAGGTCATCACAATTTGTGGTTTATTGTGTCTGAGGTAGGTTATCGCATTTGGTGGTTTATTGTGTCGGAGGTAACCTAGAGTATTTTGTGGTTTAACATGTCTTGAGCTTATCTAGAGACTTGGTGGTTTAGTGTGGCAGATGTTAGCTAGATAGTTTGGTTTATTCTTTCGCTGACCTTAGCATATGAAGGGATAAAGTATTCATTACAATGCCCACCCCACTTCATATTAGTAATGGTGCACTCAACCATGCCATCCCATATTTAAAATATTTTTTTTATTTCTGGGACTCTGGTTTAAAATATCATTTATTGAATAAAATTAAGTCTGACTGTATGAAACCAAATAAGATAAAATGATTTGTTGTGGTTCAGGGTGTATGTAGAAAAAATCATGTATTGAATCAAATTTAGTCTGAATGTATAAAACTTAATCAAATAAAATGATTTTCTGTTGCCATGGTGTTCAGGGTGCATGTAGAAAAAAATGATGTATTGAATCAAATTTAGTTTGAATGTATAAAACTGAATCAAATAAAATGATTTTCTGTTGCCATGGCGTTCAGGGTGTATGTAGAGAGCAGGCTGAGGAAAACCAAAATCTCGCAGGATTTCATGAAACAACTGATGGACGAGTGTAAGTTTCATTACGAGACTTTCTTTGAGATCACCAAAATTCTCAAAGATGTGATGGTCACCAGGTTAAAACAACAACCACATATTGATGTTACGTGCCTGAATGAGGTGCTGGCAGATGATGTTATTAAGCAAGTTCATGCTAAGGTAATTATCTATGCTTAGGTTTGGGGCGGGGTAATTATAATTATCTAATTAAATCAAGTATAAAGATTTGAAGTGTAGGTAATTTTGTATCATCAAAGTGAATATGATGTAAAGATCTGAAGATTGGATAACGAGGTTAATGAAATGGACTCAGAGATGTTGTCCTGACTCAAGCCCGTGATTCGAACTCGAGTTTCGATTTGAAAAATTTAAATCAGTTGTCAAGTATAAGGTTTGAAGAGTGAAAAAAAATGGGAGGTACAATTTTTTTAAAAGTACCATCTTTTCTAACAGGCCAGTGATCGTATCAGTGAGATAGAACAGTACAAAGAATCCCTGCTGAATAAAATAGATGATGTGAAATCTTATGAACATAAACTCTACGCTATCTGCCAGAAAGAACAATGGTAAGATTTATGGTTGTAACCCACTCCTTCATCTCATTCATACACACTTTCCATGGTGTTTGGATTGATTGTACGTGTTGCGATTAACCTGGTCTTTACAAGGCATTCCAATTGAACTGAAATAAATAGTTTTAGGTTATATTTAATTTTTAAAATTATTTTACTTAATACTACTTTCTCTATTGTCAAAGGGGCATAACTGTGTCAAAAACCATGGTGACATAATAAAACATTAAAAAATAAACATGCTTTTTTTTCCAAAAATGTAAACCTTGAAACAAAATCTCACGATTAAACACTGGCATGTTTCTTGATTTATATCATTAATAATTAGAAAGACAGACAGTTTATGTTGTAAGGTAGTGGGGATAAAACCAACAGTATCAACTTACACCTGATTCACCTACATGTATGACTTAACATATACAGTCACACAGTGTTCCCTTATCATCCACAGCTTCAAGAAGACACAGCATCACATGTCTGTCATTACAGGAATACACAGTCGGTTCCGGAGGGATAAAAATATCAAATCACAGATGTCAACGCATGATGAAAATATACATGGATTTGAAAAGTGAGTTTTGTCGCTCAGTGTGGCTGCATGACAAAAAGTTAAAAGGGGTACTTGTAGTAATTTTAAATTTTTTTATAATACAACAATTAAAAATATCAATTCATCGTTAACCCATTATAAAAATATACAGTGATTTGAAAAGAAAGCGAGGTTGATCTTAAAACTTTATGATCTGGTTGGGAATACAATTTGCCATCATTTCTACCTATCATTTCTTTTTTTTTATGTGAACAGAGACAAACTGAATAAATATTGTACTCTGCTGAAGTCCACCCTTAACGAACACTGTCTGCCCAATCTTGAGAAACTACACCGGAATGCCATGGTGATTATAGAGTAAGTGTAAATATACAGCTATAGTTTTGAAAACTTAAATACACACACCCTCAACTGTTGCTTGGAACTGAATCATTAAATGTGACTATTTTTTTCAGTATGTATATGAAATTGATTTTATTATACTTAACTTATTTAGCACATTGACCAAATGCTTGATGAGGGTGACCAAGGTTGAAAAGAATGTTGGGAGTGTCCTCAACTGTCAGAAACTTCTCAGTGAGAAGATCATTAAGGTGAGATAACTCAAATTTAAAAAACAAATTAAAAATTTTTTTTTTTAAATTCTATTTATTTTTTTAATGTAAAAGAACATTGAATGATATTCTTCAAAATAAATAGTATGAACACACTGTTACTAGCTGGTACATTTTTTTGTTTCATGTAGATGAAGAAGTCAGTTCAAAGTGATCTGAAGAGGTATACAGAGTCTGGTTACTTCTCTGCTCCCAGCGTGATGGAGAGCTCTGGCAGGCTGGAAGCTGCGGCATCAGAGATCAGATCCCATGGCTACGACCACATATCTGCAGGCTTTAATGATGAGTAAGTGGGGGGCTTAATGTTTGGTCATAGGGGGGGGGGGGGGGGAGGGGGGGGCTGACACAGTGCAGTATCAGAGATCAAATCCCACGGCTACGACCACATATCTGTAGGCTTTAATGATGAGTAAGTGGGGGGCTTAATGGCTAACTTGTCATCATCTTGGAGGGTTATTATACATTGAATCCACATTTTAAAAAAAATATCATTTATGGTGTTCAAAGAGCCAGCAATTTTATAAAACAACACATTTCTAAAATTTAATTAGTCTACCCATGTTTGCACTTAACCTCTTTAAATAATTAAAAAGAATTTGTCTTTCAGTGTAAGACTAGTCTCCCACCAAAGTTTGGTTCTACAAGAGAAACTTGAGGACCTGAAGAAGCTTCTCAAAGGCAACACAGAAATTATACAGAGGTAATGCATCGAAGCTTAAATATATTTGCTTATTTGTAATTTGTATCCCTAAATATTTTTCTGTCCATAAGATTTCGTAATGTTTATTTATATAGTTCTTGGCATAGAAAATCAAAGGCATATCCTTATTTTTCCATTCCCAAATATATATTCATAAATATCAAGCTTTCCCCCCCCCCCCTTCCACAGCTGAACACCTGTAAGTGCATCTATCTACCCAAAGTTCAGCAGAATGCAGTGGTATATTTTATAATGTTATAGGCATTTTAGGACCAAAGGAGGCAACAATTCCTAAAGAATGTACCAAAGGGTCATGTACTCGGTGCCTTCATTCCATGCGGCTAATACTAGCCTATCAAAGATGGATGTGCACATTGTTATTCTTCATACTCCCAATCAAAGACAATTTTGTACTTATTTAAATTTATGCTGGACTTATAGCAAGCTTTTTTTTTAACTAGAATCACTAATCTAACCCTAACCCTGTTCTTAAAAAATGGCAATACTTGCCGATTTCTTACCAGATTTCTTCTAAGACATCAGAGTTGTAGCTCTTTCACCCTCTACCATTCAACCAGACAGTACCTCAATTGTATAATTCTCTCCCCTGTATAGTATAAAACAGTTTCCATTCTCTTTTCTCAGCATGGATGATGGCAGTTTACAGAGCCGTGAGCCGACCAACATGTTACAGAGCCATGAGCCGACCAACAGAAACAATGGCAACCTCCAGCACTTTGACGGCAACACATGAGAGCCAGAGTCTGGCACCAGCCTGCAGCATTCTCTGTGGACCAATTTATCCACCCCAGATAAGTCAGCCACAGGGGAGACAACCCCCTGCCCAACTCTAGAGGCCAGTTACCCAGCAGTCTGTGATAATCTCTTACCTCCCCTGGTGAACAGGTTGAACCATGACAGGATTACTGTGAATCTGTCAAATGGGTCAAAGTTTTCAAAGATTGATACAAATTTTGGCTGTTTGTTCATCAGCACATTATATTTCCTCGCATTTTTTCTTACTTCTATGATTATCTTACCAAAAATTTAAGGAGTTTTTTTTAAAATGTTTTTATAACAGTTTCCTATTGTAACTATCTACTAAAGCATGTGGTTTCAAGAAATGTGGTTTTAAATTTAAAAAAAAAAAAGGTATTAGGCAAATAGATGCATACATTTTGTCCAATAAACAGCCTTCTAATAGTAAATAGTCTGGTCTTTAATTCATTAATTTGTTTTATTTTAGAGTCCCCTTTAGTTTAATGACAACACTCTTGTTTGTGTGTGATCACACAGAGAAACATTAAAACAGTGGCGTAGCTACACTAGGGGGTGCCACACCCCTTTTTAAGGTTGCAGTTGCCGACTCTTATGCTATTAATAAATATAAAAGATTTTTCTGCGCCTTCATTATATATGCACACAAACATGCAAATGGAAGGAAATAATGTAACTTGGGGCACATTGCCCCATCACACCCTCCCTAGCTACGCCATTGAAATAAGAACATAATTTGTATCAATAGTTTGAAATAGAAGTCCAGATGTATTTGAAAAACCAGTAAAGTGATATATCTCAAACTATCTTAGTTATGTCACGTTAACAAAATATTGAAGGAAAAAACCAACTACAAACTACAGCAATATACCACCTGCATAGATTTTGTATTGACTTCTCTGTTGTGTTTATTTAGGAGAACATTTTAAATGTACTTCTGTTTTCCTAAAGGAACATGTGGTGTATGAATTCTAGAAAAATTTTATGTGATTTATTACATGACCCATAAAATATGACATAAGTTTTGGTTGGTTGGGTATTTGAATGTTGGGGCGCTGGATGGTGGTGTGTGATGTTACTTTGTGAGAGTAGTACTAGTATGGATGTAGTACTTGTACAACTGTTCTGCTAGTATAAGTAAGTACTAAAGTACCATGTGGAAACGCCTGGCCTATCTCAGAATATATCACTTCGCACTGCTATCCAGGTGGGTTGGAGAGTCATGGAACTACTTGCTACACATGGAGGTACTGGTAATTGATGGAACTACTTGTTGCAGATGGAACTATTACAACACATGGAACTGTTACTATTCATGGAACTATTTGTATCTGATGGAACTATTTGTTGCAAAGGGAACTATTACAACACATGGAAATGTTGCTATTCATGGAAACACTTGTAACAGATGGAACTAATCGCTACACATGGAACTACTTTTTGCAGAAGGAACTACTTGATTGTGATGGAATTACTTGTAATGGATGTAACTACTTTTTACAAATAACACCTTTAATACAGATCTTGCAAGAGATGGAAATAGATTTTGATGATCCGATTATTACATACATAGAACATAAGTTCAAAAGATGGAATCATAGGGTGTATTGTATCAAACATCGTTTGAACAACCCTTATAGAACTATTGCTCATAAATGGAACGATATTGACATAGTCATTATTTTAGAACACCACTCAGCCTAGATATTGATATGTTATCTAAACTTCTAGAATGGCCCAGTTTGAGCTTTTATAACCAAAACATTTCAACACAAGAACTAGACTTATCAAAGCACTGATGGAAACAACTACGCTAGCAATGGCAACTAGATTTATATAGTCCAGCTCATGTAAACAGCTACTCTGATTTGGATCAAATTGAAGATTTGATTTGCATTACATATGTCACTTTATAAAACAATGGCAAGATTAAGTCAACGATGGTATAATAAAAAAAGTATACACTGTGGTTAGGTTGGTTTATTTTAAATCTGTATGTTGTCATCATTTTATTATTTTGTTTGTGTTTTGTATGTATCTCTTTTGAAATGAATGCTAAAGTAAAACTTGTAAACACTCATCTTTGTTTATAGTTGTGGCAATGTCTATGCCAGAAATGAAACAAATTTTTCATATATTATTTAGGTGTTTAATTATTAATTTTGTAGGTTAAATTTGTTTATTTTATTATTCTTATTATATTGTACTAGTTTTTGTGTGTTATTCATGCTTTAATTATTAATTTCTAAGTAAAATATCTTTTATATCTCATTTAATTTAATATTGCACTTGTTTTTGTGTTGAATGAATGGATATGATGTATCACAGACATAACTTCTACATTCTGATGGAACTATCTTTAACACAAATTATTTGAACTGTGTCTACTAAATTGAAGTCTTTAATTATGACATAAACAATTCATGCTTAGTTATGATTTCACAAATTAATATTTTTAATTATCATAACACTATTTGGTCTGTTAAATTATAACATTATAAAATAATTGTTTGATAATAACCAATTGATGTGTTAAGTAATGAAGTCACTAATTGATGTGTTTAATTATGACATTGTCAGTTATATATGTTGGATAATCCCATAAAAAATTGACTTAATTAAATGATGTTATAATTAACCAACGGGTTTAATTATGACCAATCATGTCTTTTCAAAACAACCATAAAAAACACCATTTATCAATCCTTGTTGTTATTCAGCTATTACATTATATTTTAAAATTATAATAGAACTCTACTATTACATTATATTTTAAAATTATAATAGAACTCTTTTTTTAAAGTCAAAACCCCAGTATGTTATTTATGTCAACTTTTGTGTCACGAGTCTTTTTTCCTTCTTTTCATTGTCTTAGTTTATATTTTATTTTAAAAAATAATTTGTTTTTCATTTCATTTGGATATGTTTAGGGATTATATTGTTACTGAGAAAAGGAGAGTTTATTTTTCAAATAAATGTTTTTTTCAAGCAGAATTAAGGAAAAGGGAGCTAAATCTACATTTGGTTATTTAATAACTGGATCATACCCTGCTAGACAGTGGTGTGTAGTTTCCTGCTAGATAATATTTTGTAAGGAGGGTAAAGAGTGCTTTCAGTGAGCTACATACTGACACTGGTGGGCTATATCTTGGTACTTTAGGTATTTACATGTGGACAGGCATGTGCTTTCAATGAGCTGCATAGTGTATGTATGTAAATACTGTACATCACTTTTTCTTTAGTGCTTCATGTCATTGATGCCATGTCATTGTTGTCATGTCATTGATGTCATTACATTGGTGTCCTTTGATGTCATATCATTGATGTTATGTCATTGACATCATGACATTGATGTCCTGTCATTGATGACATGTCATCAATGTCATGTCATTGATGTCACTGCTTGTAGATGATAGGTCTTGTAGAAAGACACACCTTAGTTTTTTTATCTTACAGCACCTTTTAGATAATTATACTAATTTTGTTTCATTAAAATACTAGCCAGTGTTTATAAAAAAATGTATTGTTTTGAAGAATTAAAGAAATTTAAAAGAACCATCTTTATTATCTATAAAACTAACAGTTATCTTATTTTACAAAGACATTAAGAACTGCAATGAATTAAAGAAAATAGCTTATCTGAAAAACAGATTTTTTCAATAATTTTTTTTTTCATATTTTATAAAATTATTATTTATTAGGTGGATAAAAATGTATGATTATAGTGCGGGAAAAAGAGTAATGCACCCTTGTAATACACATTGGATCCCATTTTTATTTTATATTCATCTGTGGCTGTATATTACATATAAGCTGTTGGATTATCCAAGACCTCATCCACCAGTTCATCAACCCTATGTTCTTCTTATCATTTTACCTCGCCTGCAAATCTGTATTCAGAATATGTAATCAGATGTAATGATATTTACTTACACTACACCCATTACATTCTACTTGCCAGCTTTCAAGTTTAAAAAAAGAATTGAAAATTATAGATGATATACACATTGTATCAAATATTATCAAATTATAAGTGCTATTAATTGTAAGCATGTGGATAAGGATTCTAATTAAAAATAACATTTATGGGGTTGAAACCTTTTTTTAAAAAAATGTTTTCATTTGTAAATTATATATTGTAAAAAATGGTGACCACAAAATAGAATTCATGGCCTAAGGAGTAAAAATAAAATTATGTACAAATGAACATCCTATTGCAGCTATTATTAACAATTTAAAATAATCAATACTAATATTAAATATCATTATGGTGTGTTGTTTAAAACACAGTTTAGTGTTATAGAAAAAGTATTTTAAAATTATAGAATTCTACACACTAAACGTAAAAAAGTTGTTTTGTTTTCCTTATGGTTATAAAACCAGTAAAAAAAATAGAATTTATTCTTGCTGATTTTGTAACATATTTGTTTCCTTCAAAAATTTAAATACCAAATAAAGGTCTAGCTTTATAATGTTTTTTTTAAACTAAGTCAGTTTGAGTAAATTAAATGAGAATTTAAACAAAAAATGAAACTAAAGCATGTAAAATACCCAACCATTTCTTTCAATAAAGCTTAATTAGCATCAAAATTGTCAGATTCCACTATTATCTTTAGAAATATTAAAAGAACGAAAATTGTGTAAATTGTCTGAGAAAAAAAAAATCTAGACTAAGGGAGATAATCAATAATATGTTCCACATTGCAGTTTCTTCACAGTGTGAAATGTGAGGACAACTTCTATATTAAACTCATACTAGAACAGTAGCAGGCGCATAAGATGAGTTTTTTAAACTTAATAACCCAGAGGCATATTTCAAACTTTGAACAAGGTTTATGTACAATTAATAAATCTATTAATCTATATATATAAAGCAAAGTGGTCGGGTGCCCGATAGGGCACTTCCCGGCGCCGCAGGCGCGTCAAATTTGGCACTAAGGTGCCTTATGGCGATAGAACACGAGGGCCGGTGACGGTTTGGCAAAAAGTCTACGGAGCGGGGGTCAAAACTGACCTCGACTGACCGGCGCCTTATATGGGCTATATTACGAAAAACAAATTCCTCCGACGACCCCCCTTGAAATTTTGTGAGGTGGTAGGAGAACACCTTGGGGTGTCACAAAAAACTCGGCATATCTGGGAAAACTTCGTAAAGGGGTCAAAACTGACCAGTTGTATTTCCCTATATAATCTTTGTATTTTATGGGAAAAACAGAGGGTCATTTCAACGCAGACTTTAGGGTACTTAAGCTCAGTATATCTGGCTAATTTTTTGCATGCTCCTAGGTCAATGGCTTGACCTTTAGGGAAAACTGTCGGTTACACTCAAAGCCCTCGACGAGGGCTAAAAAGTGACCGCGAGTGAAATTCTCTTTATATGAGCTCTATTACGAAAAAAAAATTCCTCCGACGACCCCCCTTGAAATTTTGTGAGGTGGTAGGAGAACACATTGGGGTGTCACAAAAAACTCGGCATATCTGGGAAAACTTCGTAAAGGGGTCAAAACTGACCAGTTGTATTTCCCTATATAATCTTTGTATTTTATGGGAAAAACAGAGGGTCATTTCAACGCAGACTTTAGGGTACTTAAGCTCAGTATATCTGGCTAATTTTTTGCATGCTCCTAGGTCAATGGCTTGACCTTTAGGGAAAACTGTCGGTTACACTCAAAGCCCTCGACGAGGGCTAAAAAGTGACCGCGAGTGAAATTCTCTTTATATGAGCTCTATTACGAAAAAAAATTCCTCCGACGACCCCCCTTGAAATTTTGTGAGGTGGTAGGAGAACACCTTGGGGTGTCACAAAAAACTCGGCATATCTGGGAAAACTTCGTAAAGGGGTCAAAACTGACCAGTTGTATTTCCCTATATAATCTTTGTATTTTATGGGAAAAACAGAGGGTCATTTCAACGCAGACTTTAGGATACTTAAGCTCAGTATATCTGGCTAATTTTTTGCATGCTCCTAGGACAATGGCTTGACCTTTAGGGAAAACTGTCGGTTACACTCAAAGCCCTCGACGAGGGCTAAAAAGTGACCGCGAGTGAAATTCTCATTATATGAGCTCTATTACGAAAAAAAAATTCCTCCGACGACCCCCCTTGATATTTTGTGAGGTGGTAGAAGAACACCTTGGGGTGTCACAAAAAACTCGCCATGTCCGGGAAAAATCGGGAAATGGGTCAAAACTGACCAGTCGTATTTCCCTATATAATCTTTGTATTTTATGGGGAAAACAGAGGGTAATTTCAAAACGGATTTTATGGCACTTACGCTCTTTACATCTGGCTCAGTTTTGGCATGCTTATAGGACAATGGCTTGACCTTTAGGGAAATCTGTCGGTTACACTCAAAGCCCTCGACGAGGGCTAAAAAGTGACCGCGAGTGAAATTCTCTTTATATGAGCTCTATTACGAAAAAAAAATTCCTCCGACGACCCCCCTTGATATTTTGTGAGGTGGTAGGAGAACGCCTTGGGGTGTCACAAAAAACTCGCCATGTCCGGGAAAAATCAGGAAATGGGTCAAAACTGACCAGT